TTGAAGGATGTGCAGTTTCCCTACACACCCTGTATTTCACAGAAAGCCAGATCTGTGGCTCTTCTCAGATACAGCTCTGTTTAAAGCTCCTACCCATCACTGCATGGTTTTTCACTGTAGTCAGCCTGCAGTGCCTGTATTTCAAATGTCTGGATCATGCCTAGGATATGACCTCTTAACTCATTCAACAAATATGTAAAAGTTCTTAGCTGTGCTTTGTTAATTCAAAAATTATGTTAAATAGTTCTGTCTAGAAATACTTTCCTTTGCTCCCAAATGTGCTTATAGGCAGGTAACTTTGGGCTTCTTTTGGAGAGTTTTTCCACAAATACATTTATGCAGAAATTGCACTTTATATTTGTTGCTGACGTGGGACAGAATATTATTTGTTCTGGGCTTGAGGACAAATCTGATTTCATGGAAACTGGGCAAAAAAATGGAACATATTTTTTCTAGGAGATTATGATGTGGCTTTTGAAAAGTGGCAAGAGAAAAAGCCTGCTGAATGTCAGAGCCCAGTACGTGCAGAGGTTCAAAATTGTTGATTCATTTCAGAAACACTCACCTAAACATCTCAGTGCCTTTATGTTCCTTGTTCCAAAGGAACAGCAATAAAAAGCTCACAAGTATTTTTGCTGTCAGGACTCATCAAATAGGTGTTTATACCATGCTTTTAAATTGTAGAATATTCTAGACATCTAAGGACAGAATATTCTAAATACTCTTCTTTTGTCTTTCTCCCTTTTCTTCACAAAAATATCAAACCCAAACCATGTTTGAAAGCAGCAGTTGCTCTGGTTGTTGCTCAGCAGTGCTGCCTGGGCATGCGCTGCTGGGCTGGGTACATGAGTACATGCACAGAAGGAGCTGGTTCTTTTCACTGGCAGTCAAAGGTGGGATTGAATTCCTCTTTTCCCTCTGCCATCAAAGTGAATGGGATTTTGCTGCTGACTTCACTGGAGCTGAGGTATATCCACCCTGGGTTTAGGATGGTCTGAATCTGCTGCAGGAATTTACACATACAGAGTAACCTATTTTTGTGTGACTCAGAGTCTGAAAGGATCAGGACTGAGAAATAGAGTTTCTCTTTATGGAAAAAAATGTGTATCATTTAGTGGGGATGAAATTACAGTAGTTCTGTCAAGATCAAATAGGCTTCTTTAGGAATCACTTGAAAGAATATATTAAATGCAGTCAAAGCTTCATTCTGTTTGTTAGCTTTGTATTTTATCGCCATCAGAGGCTCTGTAAGTGGTCTGCAGTGCTTTCTCAGAAGCTGCAGGGGCAGGTTTCCAAGTTTTCCGGAGGGTTAATCTCTCTTAAATTCTGTACATTTGCTGTAAAGACAAGTACAGTGAGCTGGGAATGCAGTGGGACTTTGCATAGGACAGAGAGTGATTGAGGACTTGTTATGAGGAGCTGAACCTGATCTGTTTGTGATGTTGCCATTTGAGAGAGCGTTAGCTTTGCTTATCAGCTCTCCGTGCATTGAGTCATGTATATATTATAGTCAGGCACACAGGAACCTCATTATAATGCTCTTCGGTTCTCATTGCCTCAACTAAAGTCCATTATAAGTACCATGTTGGAACGTGTGTATTTTGGGCTTCTGTGTGCAGCCAGGGAGCAGGCTGAAGTGCCTGTAAAATGTATATTTTATATTTAGGTATATAAAATATATATGTGGCTATGTCTGGGTGTGTGAATGTTCACCTGCCTACAAAGAGAATAAATTTGATCTTTCAACTTTTATGGAGGGGGCAGGGGGACTTGGTGAGTTCTAGAGAAGGTGTGCAGAGGTTAGTAAAAAGTTGTTATTAAAACAAAGTCCTTCATTTTGTTTTGACGGATAATGGAAGCAGGAGATGTTACAGCCTGGCATTTTGGTGCTTTTTTTCCCATCCCTTTTGGTTTTTTTACTGTTTCAAGAAAGAACTTTTCGACCTTAGTCTAGTTGTATTGTATTTCAATTCGTTCTGCCATTAACATATTCTCTTATTGAAATCAGAAGCTTTCAGTACTTGTCCCAGCCTCTCAAACCTAAGAGCTGCAGTCTTTATAACGAGAAGTTTCCTTCTTCTGAAAGAAGTAAGTGTGTCTTTTCCTGGTGCAGTTGGCATTTGGGGGAGTCCCCCTAATGTCTTGAACCAGTTAAATAACTTTGCATCCAGGTCCATTTCTTCTTTTAGCTCTCAGATACTGTTACTGACCGCAGTTATCAGACTAGTGGTTGGGGATCTGCCAGAACAGGCTTTTAAGCAAACACAAGGTAGAAAAAGTTCTCCTATCCCACTATCTCCCTAATGGCAATAATGCTTCTTACTTAACAGATGTAACAAATTCATCTAGATGGGGTATAGATCAAGCAAACCCCTGGGACAGGCTTTTGTCTTTTGGGTCTTGGAGAAACGTGTAAGGTCTCAAATTAACTGTCCTGTTCATCCAAACCAGGATACGAGCAGGATTAAAGCTTACCTGTGTGAGCAAAGCATACAGGATGGCTTCCAGTGCACCTCCAGTAGCACTGGTTTATTTGATCTGCCCAGACATGGTGGCAGGTTTGATTTTCTTGGTTTGGCTCTGAGTCAGTTTTAAATTTAGATTTTAGGTTTTGGTTTTATTAGTATTGGCTTGGTTTTTATTTTTTTAGATGAACCTCCCTGAAAGGCAGGAATCAAACACGGGGGTGGGGGGGAGTTCATGCCCATTAGGGGGCAATTTTAAAATGAGATCTGTCTCAAGGAGCTGAAGGGGATAAAAGACAAGGTGGAGATGGGAGGAGGGGAGATGCTGTTTTCCACGTACATTATGTTTCCTGCCATTTGCTTTTTTTTTTCCCCGTTTATTTCTCTTGGACTGACCTCACACTTTGGAAATTATGCACCTAGTTTCTTATCCCTCATTTTTGTCTTACTTTTTTTTTTCTCCCCCCAGCACCAGGAAGAAGAGATGCCTCATTTTGAAACCTAAAGGGGGGAATAAGAAAAGTCCTTTGTAATATATTGCCATATTATCACTAAATCCCCTGACAGTTGTGACACAGAAGCAAGTCACCTGTCACTTAAGCTTGAGGTCTCTTTAATTTTCTCCTGGAATTCGCACCAGGCTGTCTTTAATTTGAGGCCTTTATTGGAATTCTGAAACCTTTCTGCCTCCCCGGTGCTCAGATCTATTCTGAGTGCTGTTACAGAATGTATACAATAACCAACAGAGGGATTCAGAGGGGGCTGAAGCACTGTTTATTTAACACTCTGGAGGGATTTTCGTGCTTATTCGGTCCTGGCTACTCGGCTTTCAATATCGCTTTGACAACCGTTATGCCCTTCTCATTAATTTTAAACAGTTAAAACACAGGAAAAAGAGAAAAAGTTTTCATTATTAAAGTGCTTTACTTTTTAATAACAGAGGATTCTGTCCGCCAGGGGAAAGGGCAAACCTCACTAATTTCACATTCATATTAAAAAACGCTGGGAAGGTGACACTTTGTGCTGCCAGGAGGCTTAACAAAAGAAAAGTGATGGGGGCTGGAGGAGCAGGCGGGGCGAGAAAGTTTTATGTTTCACATCAATGGAAACTTGTTAGTCACAGCAGTGAGTGTCCACTTTGGGAGGCAGCACCACTTGTAGCTTATTAAACCTTTACAGAGGCCCTTCGGCTGGAGACTGTCTCAACTGATTAATAGGCACATACGAAGTCAAACTAAAAGGTGTCTGTGAAACAAGTTGTGTAGTGAGCCTTTCTCAAGTGGATTGGGAGACACATAGCAGAGGCCAGAAACCTGGGAGACTCTTCATGTAGCCTTAATGTACCTACCACTGTCTTTGGAGAAGACAATAGATAGTCCAGGTAATGAGTGAGCAGGAACTCTAGTCCCCAGGTGTGTTTGCTGCATTGAACCCAGTGGCTGGAAACTGTGGGATCTTGAGTTCAAAGGAGGGCCCTGTGCAGGGAGTTTTAGGCTACATTTGAGGTCTGTCTCTGGGCAGATTTGCTGCTGGGCTACAGAGTGGTAGATCTAGGTCAGTAAAACATTTTGTGCAGGGTGCCAGGAGCATTGCCTGGCTTCCACAATCAGCCAGGTTCACAGTGTCAGTGTGATACAGTTCCCCTGGGCGGGCAGCAGTGCAGAGGTGAGCTCACAGCTGCAGGGGAAGGAGGGGTTTGCAGCATTAGCATGCAAATCTTCCAGGAAGGAACAACGGGATTGTTGCCTTGGCACAGACCTAGTACAGAATTGTGGGAGGTGGATGTTTGTTTTCAGCCAGCCCTGGTCAGAAGAGAGGATTGACCAGTATCAAGTTGCTGCCTTGGACCTGGCACTCTTAGTCCTGGATGCTGGTTTGTGTCTGAGTAGCTTTTGAGAACTGTGGCCATTTCTTGGGAGAGGTTCACATCCATGAATGCTTGGCTTTGTGGTTTGCTGTCAACTTCCCATCAAAAATTCCCCTGTTTCCTTGTCCACATTTCCTTTCTCTGCCTGGGTAATTGAGAGAGATACAGCTTCTTTTCTCCTCCCAGTAACAGCTTGTTCCCAGGAATGTTTGTTTGCCATTTCCTGAACTGTATCCTACGGTCTGAGCCTGGGAAAGCTTGAGCACATGCAAAATTGCCCTTTTGGTCAGAGGAAGCTTATTCTGTCCTGCCTTTGCTGCAAGGGGCTTGTCTTAGTCTAGAAGAACCACGTGTTGGCAGTTATGGTTAAGTATGACTTGTGGACAGTAAGAAAACTTCATGTGGACATTAATAGTGAGAAGTTCATACAGTTGGCTTTGTTCACAGGTACAGAATTTGGTCCATTCTCTGGAGCCTGAGGGTGAACATAGATCTTCTGCCCAAGGAGGAACTTACAACATCAGTCTAAAACTGTTACTTTAGAGTCTGGGGGGAGTTATTCCAAATAACTGCAATGGAAATAAGCAGTGGTATCCGGCATGTTGAATCGAGGAGGGGGTGGGAGTGAGGGAAAAAGATACCTGATAGATGTTAGAAAACACAAAATTAAAACTGATTTGCTCTCCTCACCGCACAGGCTGCTTTGACGTTAACATCTTTATCTGTATGGGTTTTTTTCCTCTAGTAATATTGAGAGGATTACCTTTGTTGGCCCCTGGGTGATTACTGTGTGATTTTACTGTTATTAAATCTATTGTAAACTGCTTCATTATTCCCGACTCAAATTCTCTCTTTCCTCTAATCCTCCCGCCGCCCTTGCAGCAATCCTGTGGCACGGACCCTCAGGAAGTCCGGGAGCGGGCCACGGTCTTGCAGACTAAATTTGAAGACCACGTTCATTCCAGCGAGGGGACAGTCCGATGGGCAAAGAAAGGTCAGTGTGTTTCTCTTCAGCTTAATCCAGAAGGGCTTAGAAAAGCTGCCAAGGTTTTCTTCTGGGGGAGAGCTTCAGGGGAAAGGCCTGGAAGAAACATTTTGGGGCCATTGGGCTCTGTAGGGGGTTGAGATGAGCCCAGAAGGCTTTGTGATGATATTAAATGTTAATTTCTTGCATTCCCATATTACGTGCAAATGAGGTTTAATCTTGGCTTTCGATAGGATTCACATCCAAAGGCTCTGACCCAATCGCATGAGTGAATAGATTGTGTTATGCTGGGGAGATCGTGAGCGACTTGCTTAAGTCACATCCTGGTCCAGTACCCCTTAGATGCTTTCAGTTTACACCAGGGATGAGTTTGAAGCCTGTAAGACAGGATGTCTTGGGAGCAGCTCTTAACAGGCAAGGATCTTAGACTGGAGGTTGTTGTGTGGAATGGGAGAAAAATGAGAGAGTGGGCAACAGGAGAAAAACTGGGATGGATTTAACAATTGTAGCCAGGTGCAAATCTGGGATTTGATCTCCCATCTTTGCCAAGCAGGATGCACAGCACTTGTCATTGAGCAGTACAAGAAACTCTTCTGCTTCTCAGTTTCGAAAATCGAGAAGAAGGTAGATTTGGGGGAAAGATTAAACACTTGCCAGAGATGTTGTAGGAAAATAAACACTAAGCAGTCTCCTGGTAAGAGCCAAAAAGGTGGTGCAGTGTAGGCACCCCTCTTCTATGCACTGTTCTGTTGCCCATTAAGGCTGACCTGGTGGTAGTTAATGTTCCAGGTAGATGAAGATCACATTGATCTGAGTCAAATCCTGCTATCTGTGCTTGTATACAAGTCCTGTTGATTTCAGTTCTGCAGCATTTCCAGTTAGGTTTGGATGAGAGGGGTCCTGTTGTGGTGAATTTTAATGGTCTACATCATTTCTATTTACCTGCTGTATGTGTGTGTTCACAAGTGTCCCATATGTGCTATAAATTGCATACTAAGGGGATCCAAAACAACATGGAGAAGTTGGCCGTTGAGCTGTGCAGTGTCATCACAGAAACTAGATAAGGGAAGGCTGTTCTCAAGATAGAAGTTAAGTTCAACATTAAAGTGTTTGGAATCCTGAGAAGTGGTTGTTCAAGTGGTCAAAGGTGCTGGTTTTATCTGAATGTCATACTAACTTGTTAGGTGATGACACAGCAGAATGACCAGAGCTCATTCTACCTGCTTACCCCAAATTATTCTACATGCTTTTAATGGTGCATGGTTGTACTGATGTACTTGAAATCCCACTGATTAACTCTGCTCTACCCCCTGCCACTGCATGTCACTGTGCTGATTCTTGCACGCACACACTCCAGTAGCTGCAGAGCTGATGTTTTTCCTCAGGGTTTTTTTCTCCTACAGTGGAAGTGTTAGAAGCTGCAACACAAGTGGCTTGCACCCGTTTTCAGGTTGTGTTGTGCTGCTTCACTGGTGTAATCACTTTTATAGCTGCACTTTTAAGTCATCAGTCTCAAAGCATGTGACTAATACTATCATAATCCTTGATTCTTCATGGATGAGTTTCTTGTTGCTCCCCTGGGATTCCTCATACCCCATGCAAACTTCTAACCTGAACTGACTGGGGGTAGAACAACCAGCTGGCTCTGCTCACCCTTGGAAAACCTCTGTGGTTTCTCTAGGCAGTGCGTGTCACTGTGCACACACATCCACACACACTTGTTGCTGACCTCAGTACTAATAACTTCTTTAGCCACGGACAAGAAGTGCAGAAAATAGATGAGGAAATGCTGAAGTGTTGTGCATCCCGTTTGTCTCGTACAGGAGCACTCCACCTCTTTTTCCTCCTCTTCTATCTGCATATGCAAATTTTCCACTGCTGAGTGGCTTCCATAAGCCCCCTCTTCCTCCCCTCTGCGCCAGGCATCATGAATAATTAACATGGCAGCTGGCTTTTGCTTTCATGGCAGACAATCAATTGGAAGCTGTGCCAGAGATGCATTTGTTTCTCTCTCTTTTTCTCTTTTCCCCCATTTTCTGACCTAGTCAATGTTAATAAGCAGTGTTTTCACTGCAGCCTGTTTTCAGAAGGCGAGTGGCTCCCTGCCTGCTCACCCCTTCTGCCTCTCGGCCCCGTATCTTCCAAACTCAAATCAAATGGTTCACTGAAGGTGCTGCCCTTCAAACTTGATTGACGATCAGCAGTGAGATGGGTGGGAGGAGGGGTATGGCTGGGCCCTGCTACTTGAAGGACAAATCTCATGAAGTGTGGAGCCCTTTTTGGGAAATAGAGGACTACTTGAAGAGTTGCATAGTGATGTGTGCTCCATTTTGGAGCCATGGGGGCAGGTAAAGCTCAGGAGACTCTGATCCTTCATGCCTTCTAGGCCAGGTTGGACACAGGGGCTTAGAGCAACCTGCTCTAGTGGAAGGTATCCCTGCCCAAGGCAGGGGATTGGAACTGGATGAACTTTAAGGCCCCTTCCAACCCAAACCAGTCTGGGATTCTATGAAGCCCTGCTTTTCTCCTTCATATTTTCCCATTTTATAGTCACTAGTTGAGTATTTTGCCTTATCTTTTCTGCTCTCAGCACATGTGTGTTTGCCAGGACAGCAGAGTTCCAGGAGCCCGCTGCTGAGCACAGTGCTTGATTCCATGGCAGTTTTGGTGCATGCTTCTTCCTTGTTCCCACATGCTCTGCACTGACAAAATGCATCCACCAGTTTATCCAGCTGTGTGGCTGAGGCTGCACTCCAGGGCCAGTGCTGGGAACTGGCTGCCAGCTGAGAGCATGGTGAACAGGTTATGTCTCCTGTCTCTCTTTCATATCTCATTACCCTCGTCACCTCTTTAAAAAAACAACACTCCAACCTATCTAACCTCCATCAGACTTTCCACACTTAGATTTCCTATAGGAAAGTGGGGATGCATGGGTACAGAGGACCAACCTAAATCCACTCTTCCCACTCCAGGGAGTATACATTGCCTTAGATTCATACTGGCATGGCAAACCCAGTAACAGCTCAGGCAGTTGTGGTGTTAAGATGAGGTACCCTTTATGTGAGTTATGGCCTGACCAGCACAGTTTCCAGCTTTTCTGAGTTGTTTTCATGAAGCTCTATCTCCTTGATTATGAAATTATAAAAGAATTTCAACTAAAAAAATAAAAAAGCTGAAATTACACATAAAAGCTGTAAAATGTGACTGTGGCAACAGAGGTCTAAAGACCTAATAGTAAAGATTTCAGAAAGAAGCACACCCACAGAGGTCTTCATTTAGATCTCATGGTGCTGTGGTGAACATTAACAGCTCTGAGCTCCTCAGAGGTCAGACAGTGGCATGAGCTGAGGTTTTGACCTGCAGGTATGGCAGGGTTGTTAGCTCAGCTTTGGGTTAGTGTCCTGCAGCTTGCTCTGGCTTTACATGCTCTGACTCAGGACTGGATCTGACCGTTGTCTGTCAGGACTTTGGGAAGAATGGGGCCTTTGACACTTTGGTTCTCTAACTCTGATCAGGGGAGTTCGTACCAGCAGCCTTTCCTGCCCAAAGGACTGTAGGAGGTGAGCTCAGCCTTCATAATAATAGGATCTTTAGTATCAACCATTTCAAATGCTGTGAGAACGACAGTTATATTGGCTCCAACGGGACCAAAGTCAAAGCAGGAGCGCGTTCGTATTGTTTCTTTTCAAGAGTTACACCTTCTCATAGCAGGTGAATTGGACCAATAACTTTATGAAAAAGAAAAAAGCAGCAGAATAGAGTTTTTGAGAGCATTTGAGCTGGTTTATAAGCCCTCAGAAGCATGACCTTTAGATTAGACACCAAGATGAGGTATTTGGAATTTAGCATTCTGGTTTTGGGAAAACATGGGTCTCATGGCTCAGATGCCTCTAAGAGTAGCATTGTGAAATTGGGAAGAAGGTGCAAAAAACTCAATCTTTTCTTCTCATCGATTGGGAAAAGGAGTTCACTTTACTCAGTAAACAGAGCTTTGATGGATTCCCTGGGTCCTTCCAGGAGCTGATCTGCTAAAATGACATTTTTATTACTGTTCATAAACTCCAATCTCTGGCTGCTGCCAAGAGATTAGACATAAGCTGTGGGCAAACTTGCTGGTCCGGTGGCTCAACAGGCAAGGGCAGGAGAGGTTAGAGTTTAGAGCTTGCTGCTGTCAGGGGTTGAGAGGGAGAGAGTGATATAGGTGGTGGATTGAGCGAGGGCTGGGGGGGGGACACAGGAGGTTTAGCAAGCAGAAGGGCAGCAGAGGATTGAAGGGAGGCGTTTTCTGAGCTGTAGAGTTTCCTTACTAAAAGTCCCTCTATTCCCCTTAGTAGAGAGGACAGCCTGGGTGTAGTTAATGTTCTGGGTATGTGAAGAGCAGTGGTAGTGTTCATATTAGTGGATGATCGACTTTAGAGCAATGAGCCCTGAGGGAAGGGCATTACAGGAATATAAAGATGTGAAGGGAAATTTGCATGCAATTCTATTATTTTTTTTTTTCCTTTTGAAAAAGTGAGCTCTGTTCTCAGTGTGATGATGAGGCAGGAAATCCATCTGGCTCTCGGATATTTATAAGGGACTAGCTAATAACTGGTGAAAAATGCACGGACTACTGGGACTGTAATATCAGAGGAGTCTTCCTATGCCATCTCCATGCTTCTGTTCCCCTCTCTTCATCCCTGTCTCTCTATTTCTTCTCTCCATTTACCTGCTACCACTGATGTCAATGACTCTTCCTGTGAGATGTGCTACTAACATCACCCTTTCTAGCAGAAGGGGCATTCTTGCAAGAGGCAAACCTAATGCAATTGAATGTAGCTTTATTTCAGTTCCTAACGCTTCACCACCACTTACCTTCTCCTTTCAGGATTGTATTAGTACTATACAGCCTTCACAGATTTTTAACATACCAACCTTTTCTACCAGCTGCTGACCAGGAGGTGCCCCAAAGGACAAGACCAATGTCCTTTTGGCTGGAACAGCTGAATCTTTAAGTGTATATATATAAAAATGCAGTAGCAAACAGAATTCACTCTCTCTGGTTTTTTTTCCTCCCCTCAGCACTGCAGTCTTTCCTTTGTGCCTATACCACCTATCCCAGGAACCTCAAGCACATCTTCCACATCAAATCTCTCCACCTGGGTCATTTGGCTAAGAGCTTTGGCCTGAGAGATGCCCCCCAGAATCTGACTGCTTTTCCAACTGCGGGCTCCAAGAAGAAAACCAAACCAAGACCAAAAAGGTAGGCCACCTTGGTGTTTCTGAGCTGAGGAACACCATGTGACAAACTGGTGTGCTTTGCTCCTCAAGATGATTGTGCTTGCTCCAGGAATCCTAGAATGATTTGGGTTGGAAGGGACCATCTAATCCAACACCGCTGCCATGAGCACGTCATGTGTGATTTTTCCAGAGAGGCTAAATGATGTTTAGCCATTGGCTTAGGTTGCATTGCTCTCTGAGCTGTTGTTTCATTCCCCTTTTCCTAATAGCTTTAGACAGCCTAAAAATTACATTTATTGAACCAACTTGGTTGAATGGGAATTCAGATGCTTTTCTTTGAAGGAAGCTGCTGTGTGGAGGTGCACCTACACAGACTAGCCTGGGGTTTGCTGCAGCTCTTCTATTTTCTCTTCACTTGAAAAATATCATCTCCTGTGAGTCTTCTGAGCAGGAACAGCCTGTTTTTTATTTATTTGTACTTCACTGAAGAGCGGCCTTGAAGGATGAGGAAGGGTACAGGCAATATTCCAGAGCAAAGAATGAGACTTCCCGTATATTGATTCTCTTTCTTGCACAGGTCGTGGTAGCTAGAGCTCCAGCAGCAGTTCTGTTGTCAAGGCCAAGCACCTCCATAGTAGAAACTGCCAGATTTTTTCCATTCACATGCCCACTTCCAGTCGCATGGTCCTATGGAGAGCTATGATCCCTGGCTCAGGATCAACTGCACAGCAACTCTTTGTCCTCATCCGTCTCTAGGGAAGGGCTCTCGCAGATACAGCTGTGCCTATAAGTACTTGCTGTTGATGTAGGGCACAGGATGATAAAAGCATCAAGGAAATAGCAGAAAAATAAATATTTTTACTTCTGTAATTTGAAGTTGACTGTCCTGCACATGATGAGCAAGGCTGTGTAAGTGCTGATTTGTCTCTCAAGAGTTTCTTCTTTCCTGGCCTTGACAAATACCACTGCATCAGGAGCAAAATGTGTGTTTTACTGTCTTTAAAGGCCTTCCGTGGGCTCCTGTGGCATTTTTTGTCACCTTTTTTTCTACACTAGACAGGCAGCCTTTTGTAGGCTTTCTCCTGCACTTCCACCAAAGGTTTCCTGGCTCTCAGATTTGCCACGGGACAGATTGTGTCCATCCTCCCAGAATGTTCAGCTGCAACTTCAACTGCTTGTTCTCCTCCCTAGGAAGACATTAGCTTAGTACCTGAGAGAAAGAGGAAGACTGCAGTGTATTTTTTGGTCATTAATTATTTGAATGACTAGTTATATACATACAAGCCCAAATCAAAAGGCAGATCTGTTGGCAGAAATGATCCTTCTACAAACTTGGGCACTGCTGCCTGTGGATTTTAGTAGTTCTGCCAAAAGCATTTCTGCAAAATCCCGTGAGATCTCTCCAAGAAGAGTCTGTAGCAAACCTAGAGTTACAGCTCTGTCCCCTTTGGTGTGTGGACAGGGTTGTTCTGAGTACTCCTTTCCTGTGTGAGGAATTTGAGACTCCCTGATGCTCCTGGAGGAGCAGAGCCCTGAATCCTCTTCTCCACTTGAAATGGAGCTGAAGGTGTTCAGTACGTCTGATCCTAGTTGCTTTGAGTTGGTTCTACAGGATAGATAATCCTCCCTTTTGAGATGACAACATTAAGGGCTCACTGCCTTCCTTAGCACAATGGCAGGATACAAACCTCTGGCTTGCCAGGGAAATCACTGCAGTAATTCAAAGGAGAAAAATCTTTTCTCTTTTATCAGTATCACTTGTGACTCTTTCTATGTAATTGTTGCTGCAAACTCCATTAGCAAACATTAGCCATTAATACACTAATCCACATAATTGTTCCTGGGCTGGTGACATCTCTCGCACATGTACGTATCTTGGGGGTGGAAAAAAGAGAAAGGGAAGGGATTTTAAAAGGAGAAGTTGGAGACTGCGTTGTCCTGCTTTGAGAAGCCACCAGGGACAGGCCACTGATCTGCCTCCTGCTTCAGTTGACCCTCACCAGCAGATGGGCAACAGGATGGGAATGCCCCTGTGAGCAGGGGATTTAACGGAGCTTTATTTCAGGAAGAATAGCCTGATTAGCCGATAAAGAGCATGTAAGATGGTATGGGGTGGGCTTTGATGTCTTGCTGGCCCAGCAGGGTGTCAAGCTATGACTGACAGTAGCGTGTCATAGGATTACTTGGCCTGCAACAATGCCTCTCTCTGTTCCTATGATGTTGCTACTCTGTTAGAGCTACTTTTTCCCTTGTTACGAACCTCTTTTAGACAGAGTTCCTCCTCCCCAAGTCTTCATCCTATTATAGTACAGACAAGCTCAATATACAGTAGGTAGTTTATGCACAGGACGTGTGGGGTTGGGGGATGTGGAGGTGTTAGAACAAATGATCTGAGAGTGATTTGGAAGCTCATTTGCACGTGGATCATATAATTGCAGCTCAGGGAAAGTGGGCAGACTTTGCACAGGTTCGTCACGGCTCAAGCTCCAGATTTCAAATCCAGGAGCATCTGGAAAGTTTAAGACCCTGCAGAAATAGCCGAAGTTGTGATGTGCAACAATTGTTCTTGCCTGTGAACCTTGTTTCTGATCAACTTTGTCTGTGTGTGCCTAAAAAAAAAACCAAAACAGAGAGAAGATATATTAGTATTTATAGAATAGTTTAGAGAAAGTGAATATAGATTCTAATTCAGTCTCTGCTAGCATAAAATCAAGATAGTGCTGTTGACTTACAGAGAAATGCTTTTGATTTCACACTCAGAATTCATCCTGCCGTTTAGAAGACAAATGGCTTTTAATTGTAAAATGCAAGGCTTGAAATTATAATAGCATAGTCACAGAGCAATCATTTTAATTATATTTCCTATGTGATACCGTGAGTGTTGGTTGTCGTATTACACATTGTCTCCAAACATCTGATACTTGTTTTTAATCAGTCCGCTCACTAAAGCCTCATCTCTCAGCACCTGCCCAGAGAATAAAGAACAGGCAATCCAGGCTGAAAGTGGGGTAAAGGCAATCATTAAATGTTTCCTTACGAGGACAAAGAAAACTCTTCGTTTCTTTTGAAGTCTCCTTTTGTGCTTAGCGCCTCCTTGGAGAGCCTGCTTGGGGAAGGTGAGACAGGAAGACAGAGGAGCCAGGTGTCTGGCGGTTCAGTGCTGAAATGTGGGAGCAGCCCTCTCCTTCTGAATGCACGTGTAAAATTTTCATGTATTTTTTAGACCTCTTTGTGCAAACCAACTGCCCCCTCAGCTGTAGTGGTTCTTGCAAAACCCGATCTGAAGATGGTAAATAATTGCTCACGATTTTGTTTTTAAAAGTCAAAATGCTGTAAGACATGAGCTCATGAACCAGATACTGTGTATTAAGTTACAGTAGTACATCAGCTTACTAAGTGTCAGGGCTCATGCTTTTACTGAAGGGTAGACGTAAGGAAGCTGATCCCACTTCCATTGAGGGATTAACTGTCTTTCGTTTGCTGCAGAGAAGCAGCATGCACAGGAAGTAGCTGACATGCCAGATAGACATGGGTTTTGACTCATTCACAATGCAGATGCCAAAGACCTATTGCCATTCCACCAAGCATCCCTGTGCTACTCAATCTTTTGCATTTTGGGTCAGTGGGGTTTTACGAGATTCTGTGGTGACTGATGGTCTGTTTTCTCCTTTTGAACTCTGGAAGGCTGGTGTATGTCCCCAAAGGGTTTCACTGTGGTGAGTTGCAACTTAATTTGCTCTGTTTGTGAATTCAAGTCATTACAAAGAAAGAAATAAATCTTTAAGTTCAATAGATTCTGTGGAACTCGTTGCTACAGGATTTCTCTGGTACCAGAAATGCTCAGAAAGATTGAATTTACGTGTGAGTATCAAGTATATTCGTAGTTGCTACAGCATGTACAAAAAGTGAATATAAAAATTAAGGTGAAAATTCCCTTAGGCTTCAGAGTTTAAGTCCAACCCTTAACTAAAATGGGATCAAGGAAATGTGTCCAGGATACTTCAATTTGAAGGAATTTATTTACATCATTATTACACTGCTATTGCTCTGAGTATGGATATCATCGTGCCCTAAAGGTTTTGGCTGCAAGATTATTGTACTAATTCATTCTTCAGCATTTAGTGGTCAGATAGAATTAGACTTCTACTGGGAAATATACCTTGTAACCCTGTGTGTCCTCCTGTATGGCTAGGGCAGCAGTCTCCTTTGGGTGAAAGCTAGTAGCCTCTTACCTTCTGTCCTACCTCATATTTTTGTTCCACTTCTGAACATCTTGGCATTGACAATTTTGGAAAGACTAATGCTTCTATTGACAGGGCATGCGAATCAAGGCTGCAGCTGGGTCTCCCTGCACAGCAATTGTATAATCATTAGAAGCAGTTTCCCTGCCAGTTTTTGTGTGCCATTTATAGCTTTCCTAATATCACTTAATTAGTCAAAATGCAAGTTTGGAATTCTGCCCACTGGGAATTACACTTGGTTTGGGCAGTCTGCTCTAGAAAGCCAGACTGGAGCTCAGGTAAGAGCGTGTATTCATGGACTGGGTGCAAATGGATCCAAAAAAGAGCCATGGCTGTTGTGAAAGGAAGCATCACCATCAGACTTCGTTAAGTCAGTTGAGGGAAACAAATGATTCCTGCTTACCACATCATGACACATTATAACAAAGTCCTATTATGAAATTGAAGTTGTATAACTGTAAATCCATCTGATGGATATCTGCATGCAGCAATGCCCTTTATTACAGTCCTGTTCCACCATAGCTGCAGTACAAAGCTTTTGCGCCATCTTTGAGCAAGCTAGTAGGGCTTGCACATGGAGCTGGAAAACTTCCGTGCTGTTTGGTACACACCAAAACATGATCAGCTCTCTCTAATTGAAATATATTCTGTCCTTTAGGCTGGGAAATCCTGGGAGGTTCCCAGCCTCCCAGTTGTGCTTTTGGCCTTTCCCTGCAGGGTGAAGACCAAGGGATGGTAGTGAAACTGGGGGGGGTTTGTCTCTGTGTAGCTGAAGTACAGT